CTCAGAGCACGATACGGAGCCCAGGAAAAGAAGGGGAGGAGAGTGAGGACGACTCCATGGAAGAGGCCCCCGTGGAGGATCTCAGGGCCCTGGGGCAGAGACCCAATGCTAGAGAACTGCCCACAACAGTCAGAAGAACTTAGCTGGCCTGGGATCCTCAGGTGGGCTCTGCTGTGTGCCCTTAGGCAAGCCACATATCCCCTGAGCCTCAGTTTCCTCATCTGTACAATAGGGCCAATATCATTCACCTCAGAGGTTGCTCTGGGGGATCGCTGTGCCTGGCGCATAGTAGGTGTTCAATAAATGCCCTGTGACTCTCAGCTGGATCCTGACGCTCTCGTCCTGCCTTTAGTCTGGGGACTCAGGTGGGGTGTGCTTGCCCCTGTGTTCATGTTGCAAGCACAGTGGATTCCTTTCCTGGGCTGCCTTGACAAAGCACCACTGCCCGGGGAGCTCAAACCACAGAAAATCACTCTCCTGTGTTCTGGAACCCAGAAATCTCACAACAAGGTGTCAGCAGGGCTAGTTCTTTCTGGAGGCTCAGCACCCATCCCAGGCCCCCTCCAGCTTCCAGTGGCTCCTGTCCTCGGCGTGCCTGGGCTTGTAGCCGCAGCCCCAGCCCCTGCTTTCCTCTTCAGGTGGTGTTCTCCCAGTGTGCACTTAAGCCTGTGTCCAAACCTCCCCTTCCTATAAGGACGCCCATCATCAGAGACCCCCCTCACTCCAAGATGGCCTCATCTTGCCTAATTATATCAGCAACGACCCATTTCCAAATAAGGTCACATTCGGAAGTATGGGGGCGGGTAGGACTTCAACATAGACCTTCGGGGACAAAATTCAGCCCACAACACATGGACGTGATGTGCAGGGATGCTCTTGGGACCAAGATTGCCACAGAAGTCCACAGCGGTCAGAGCGGGATGGAGGTGTAGGGAGGGTTGGGGTGTGTGGACTAGGGGGCTGTCTGCTGGGACCCCTGGTGCACAGCCAGGGAGCGAATCCTCTGGACCGTGTCCAAGGGCAGCTGAGGTGAGCTTGCTCCTCCCAGCCTGGCACAACTCAGTGACAGTGAGGCTTGGTGGAGATGTCTGGGTCCTAGAACTGTCTTCCGTGGCCAGGCGCAGTGGCTCACACCTGTAATCCCAGCACTTTGGGAGGCCGAGGCAGGTAGATCACCTGAGGTCTGGAGTTGGAGACCAGCCTGGCCAACATGGTGAAACCCATCTCTACTAAAAATACAAAAAATTAACCGGGCATGGTGGCACAAACCTGTAATCCCAGGTGTTCGGGAGGCTGAGGCAGGAGAATTGCTTGAACCTGCAGGGCGGAGGTTGCAGTGAGCCGAGATTGCACCACTGAGGTTGCAGTGAGCTGAGATCGCGCCACTGCACTGCAGCCTGGGCAACAAAAGCAAAACTCCGTCTCAAAAAACACAAACAAAAAACTGGCTTCCGTGCTTCCCATGAGTGTGGCCATCTCTGTCCCTCAAGGCCACACGCTGCCCAATGATTCCAGGTTAGAAAGTGCACCTGGGTCGGGCGCGGTGGCTCACGCCTGTAATCCCAGCACTTTGGGAGGCCGAGACGGGTGGATCACGAGGTCAGGAGATCGAGACCATCCTGGCTAACACGGTGAAACCCCGTCTCTACTAAAAAACACAAAAAACTAGCCAGGCGAGGTGGCGGGTGCCTGTAGTCCCAGCTACTCGGGAGGCTGAGGCAGGAGAATGGTGTGAACCCTGGAGGCGGAGCTTGCAGTGAGCTGAGATTCGGCCACTGCACTCCCAGCCTGGACCACAGCGTGAGACTCCGTCTCAAAAAAAAAAAAAAAAGGAAAAAAAAAGAAAGTGCACCTGGAGCCTGCAGATACGGGCTGGCTCCACCGATCCCAGCACCCCCCACGGGTCACCCCCAGCCAGGGGTCCCACAAGCTCAAAGCCAGAAAGCACCTCGTCTCTGTTGAGACAATGGAAGCCAGTGAAAGTTCCAAATGAGGCTAAATTCTCCATGAGGAGATAGAACAGCATAGAAGCTTCTTTCTACCAACTTCCTAGATAGGATCACAATCCTTCCACCCTGCAGCGGGGAGGCCTGTTCCAGCTGTGGAATCCTTTCGAGCGCCCGGGGCGGGGCATCATCCCTGTGGGGGGCTCATCCCTGCCTAGCCTCCTGCCTTCTGAGGACCTCGGCTGGGAATGGTCCGCCCGGTGGCCTCTCATGCTGGCCTGGTGGATAACCGCTGCACTCCAGAGCCAGACAGCCCCAGGTTCGCATTCCCCACATGGAGTGCCCTAGGTTTTTCATCAGCAAAGTGAGGGACACACATCTTTCTCACAGGATTGAGGTAGGGTTGGCATCTTCATCACTGTGACTTTTTCGAGACAGAGTCTCACTCTGTCACCCAGGCTGGAATGAAGTGGTGCAATCTTGGCTCACTGCAACTTCTGCCTCCCAGCTTCAGGCAACTCTCGTGCCTCAACCTCCCCTGTAGTTGGGACTACAGGTACCCGCCACCACGCCCGGCTAATTTTTTGTATTTTTAGTAGAGATGGGGTTTCGCCATGTTGGCCAGGCTGGTCTTGAACTCCTGAGCTCAGGCAATCTGTGCACCTCGGCCTCCCAAAGTGCTGGGATTACAGGTGTGAGCCACCGTGCCCAGCCCACAGTGATTTTTATTACCCAAGATTCGGCTCCACGGTGCCTCTCAGGGAAGCCTTCCCCGACTCCCCCAGGCCAGGATACACGCTCCAGAAATAACTAAAACTTTCTAGATGTTCTGTATAATCTGTATATTACATCTATTAATGCTTTAGAGTGTATATTTGTATACTTTTATAAGCATATACCTGCGTGTACACACACATTTGCTTATATGTAGACGTCCATGTTTTCAGGAACCTTAGCTGAGTCCCAACTCTGTGATAGTTTCTGAAGGACGATGACCTTGCTAGTCAGGGCCATGGTCCCGGAACTGGTGGTGCCAATTTCATGTAAGGTTTGGCTGGGTTGGGGGCCTCTCTCCTTCCCCTTTGGCCCCAGTGCACCTAAGAGACCAATTGTCCCAGAGTACAGGTGGGACAGTCGGCCCAGAGCCTTCCCTGTCACTCCTTCTCTGCTGGTCACTTGGTAACTGGCAAGAAAACTCAGAAATTCTCTCTTTTGGGGCCCTGAGGAGGCAGAGATGGGGGCAGCCACCTCACACCGGGATGCCCTCCCTCCCTGCCTTTTTTTTTTTTTTTTTTGAGATGGAGTCTTGCTCTGTCACCCAGGCTGGAGTGCAGTGGCATGATCTCGGGTCATTGCAACCTCTGCCTCCTGGGTTCAAACGATTCTCTTGCCTCGGCCTCCCAAATAGCTGGGACTACATATGCCCACCACCATGCCCAGCTAACGTTTGTATTATTAGTAGAGACACGGTTTCTCCAACTCCTGACCTCGAATGATCCACCCGCCTCGGCCTCCCAAAGAACTGGGATTACAGGCGTTGAGCCACCCCACCTGGCCGAATAATACATTTTAATTTATTCCTATCAAAATTAGAAGAGCTGGGTCCTTTTTCTTTCACTAGATAGGAAACTTCCTACCCCTCTGTCTGAGGGCAGCTGAGCAGGAAGAGGCCTACCTGCACTTCCCACAGGAATGGCCTGGGGCTGTGATGCTCTTCTTCCCGGTCCACAGATGAACAAGCTGACGCTCAAAGAACTATCTGGCTAAGGGCATACAGTCAGCTGGCGGGAGGTGGAACCAGATCCGGGCCCTTCCAGGTCCCGCCCCGAGCTGCTCAAACTCTTTGGGGTCTTCGCTGCCTTTCAGAGGAGCTTCTCCCCTCCGTGGAGTCTGCCTCCGAGTCTAGCCCCTCACTTCCTGTGGGAGGAATCCCCCAGCACTAGAGAAAAAGCCCAGATGCGATGCCCCAGGGCTGTGCACCCACAAGCCATGCCCGCCCTCCCTGTGTGGCTAAGAGGAGGGGGCAGAGGGAGAGCTGGGGATGTGGAAGCTGCTCCATTCTTCCTCTGCCTGGAGTGGCAGGGAGTGTCCCTGTCCGCTCAGGCAGTTGGGGGAGGGGGACCTTGCATCCCTGCTCCTGGGGTCTGGGGGATACCCCTGTGCCCTGCTCCTTCCCTGGGCATGAAGGGGACCCCAGGATCTAGCTCTGGGGTCTGCCCCTGTGTCCAGCTCCCTCCCAAGGCAGGAGGGGGACCCCTGCATCCCACCCCTGGGGTCTGGGGGGACACCTGTGTCCAGCTCCTTCCCCAGGCAGGAAGGGGACCCCTGCATCTCAGCCCTGGGGTCTGGGGGACGCCTGTGTCCAGCTCCTTCCCCAGGCAGGAAGGGGACCCCTGCATCTCAGCCCTGGGGTCTGGGGGACGCCTGTGTCCAGCTCCTTCCCCGGGCATGAAGGGGACCCCTGCATCTCAGCCCTGGGCTCTAGGGGACACCCCTGTGTCCAGCTCCTTCCCCGGGCGCATTGCCCATCCATTTAGGCCAGAGTATCAGAACGTGGCTGTGGACTTCTTACAATCAGAGAAAAGGAAAAGCCCCCAAATTTTTGAAATATTTTTGTGGAACGGAGTTGGAAGGAACTGATACAGGCGCCCTGCTTGTGCTGGGTAGGGGCTGTGCTCAGGGCCACTGACCACCCCAAAACCCCCAAAGAGGTAAGGTGTCTTTGGCTTTGAGGGGTAGGGTCAGGTGTCCAGGTGAAGGGGTTCAAGGCGGTGGTGGAGCCTGGGCCAAGACCCAGTCCAGAGAGGGGGTCCCTCATTCATGAATACAGACTCCCAGTAGCCAGGCAGACCAACATGGCCAACGTGGCTGCTGTATCTGATAAGACCTGGGTGCTCAGTCTGCGTGGAAAAAATGTCTATTTGGCCTTAGAAAAAATGGTTTTCTTCTGAAAAGCTATGGATGTCACTCAGAAGATTGCAAATTCTGTAAAAAGTCCTCATGGATGTGTTAAATATTAAACAGACTTTGTCTTTTTTTTTTTTTTTTTTTAAAAAAAGGATATTTTATTTCAGTTTCTACCTTCCGACAACTCAAGGTGCAACATATACACACATTTTTTTCTTCACAGCAAACACCTTTGATTTTAGCACTGTTTTGAGATCTTCACCCTTGAAATTTTCTCAACCTTAAAATACTTTGTAGAACATCACCGAGTGGGACACAAGATTGCAAAAATGCAACAGAGAAGATACTGGTGTCACTGCACACCACTGGGGGCTACCAACAAGGCAATGTCCGGATGTGACCACCACGAGTCTAGGAAAGAGAAAGCAGAGGGCGTGTGCATGGGAGACGCCACTGATAGTTCCAAGGGGGGCTGCCAGGTCCAAGGCGGCGGCAGGTCAACCGTGTCCTGACACATTTACATGTTTTAAGGGGATCCATGTATGTTGTCTGAATTTCCAGCATTTCCTAGTGTTCAAACATTTGCCTTATCTTTCCCCAAGTGTCCTCCCAGAAGACCCTAAGCCACAGCCCCAGGCTCGCCGGGAACGCCAGGAGCTCCTCTCCAACAGACGAACCCAAGACAAGCTGTCTCTTGCAGGGAGATCTGGAGTCCACCCCTTAGGGCTGTACGTCCTAAGGGCATGCCGTCGTCCCCCACCTCTATTTCATGAGCAAATCATCTAGGATTAAGGAGGGAGTGGGCGCAGTCCCCTAGTTCCAGTCAATGCACAGGGGATTTACTGACAGGCATCCTCTTTCTAGTTAAAGTGCAAAGTCCCTTAAGGTGCAGCTCAAGGGAGCTTCAGGCTGCAGCAGACTCAGGCTCTGTTTTGTCAGGTCCCAGAGCCTGCAGATAAAGAGGATGGGCTGGGTTCTCCCCAAATTGCACTGTCCTGCGGGAGGGGTGTAGAAGGGAAGTTGGGGTGAACCCAGCCCATCCTCTCTCCCCTTGGACATGGTTTTTCCCTTTCCAATAGCAACTAAGAAACCCTACTCCCACCCCCAACCCCCGTGGGAGCGCTGTCCCACTGAAATCCCGTGGTCACGTGCATCCCCAGGCGCAGCTGCAGGTAGGACCGCGCTCCCGAGGGCTCTCACTCACCGGAGTCTGCAGGCTAGAGACACCCACACAAACCCAATCCCTTGCCAGCACCGGAGTCAGGCTCCCACGTGGCATGCATCCTTGCGAGCCCGTCAGTCACATGATTGATTCCGTCCCTCTCCTGGAGAGCATGCTACCCAGGCCCAGGGAGGCCCAGGGATGCATGCGGGCCTGACGCACAGAAGGCAGGCCCCCTGAGCGCCTGTGTGGAGGGTGGCTTCCAGGCCAGTGTTGGCTGCAGGAGAACAGTCTGGACGTGGTTCTTCTGTTTGGTGTCTCAGGCACCAACACATTCCTATTCCTGGCCCGCGGCAGCAAGGGTTCCTGGGGTGCATGGCCTGTGTGACTCCAGGAAGCGCTGCTCTGTCTGTGGCCTTAGCCTGTGCGAGCCAGGCGGGGTGCACCTGGCATCCGACTCCCCTTTCCTGTGGACGCAGCTGGGAGCTTCTGAAGTGAAACCTATCTCCAAGAATCATCAGTGTGAATACGTGATTTACAGGACAAGGGAGTGAGATGGCTGCATCCTAAGAAAAATGGTTCAGCGGAAGTGAACGGCTCACTGGGACTGGAAATGGGACAGGAAAAGGAGTGAGAGTGGCCTTGAGTGAGAACCTGGCAGCTTCGCCTTGTGGCTGCAGAAACGGAGGAGGGACCAGCCTCAGAACACCTGCCTGCTGGGTCCAGGGGGGCTCTCCCTCCCCTCTCCCTGAGGCTGGACCACTGCCACGCTGTGAGCATCCCTTCCTCTGCGACAAGGAACCCTCTGATTTTTAAAGTTCTCTTTCTCGAGCTCCACACTGTTCTTGGAAACACTACTGGATTCCCTGGCTGCGCTGTGGTCTGGTTTTAGGTAATTCAGTAACAAAGCTGACCTAACCACACGGGCCTACCTGGATCCTTCCTAATTAAAAAGCCAACAGAGGCTGTGTGTGGTGCCTCAGGCCTGTCATCCCAGCACTTTGGGAGGCTGAGGTGGGTGGATCACCTGACGTCAGGAGTTCGAGACCAGCCTGGCCAACATGGTGAAACCCCATCTCTACTAAAAATACAAAAATTGGCCAGGCATGGTGGCATGCACCTGTAATCCCAGCTACTCAGGAGGCTGAGGCAGGAGAATTGCTTGAACCCAGAAGGCAGAGGTTGCAGTGAGCAGAGATCATGTCACTGCACTCTAGCCTGGGTGACAGAGCAAGACTCTGTTTCAAAAAAAAAAAAAAAAGAAAAGAAAAGAAAAGAAAAAAGCCAGGTGTGGTGGCTCACCCCTGTAATCCCAGCACTTTGGGTGGCTGAGGCAGGTGGATCACCTCAAGTCGGGAGTTTGAGACCAGCCTGACCAACATGGAGAAACCCTGTCTCTACTAAAAATACAAAATTAGCTGGGTGTGGTGGCACATGCCTGTAATCCCAGCTACTCAGGAGGGGAGGCTGAGGCAGGAGAATCGCTTGAACCTGGGAGGCGGAGGTTGCAGTGAGCAGAGATCGAGACACTGCACTCCAGCCTGTGCAACAAGAGTGAAACTCCGTCTCAAAAAAAATAAATAAATAAAGCCAACAGATAGTGGGACCCAGGAAGGTCAGGCCAGTAGCTTACAGCCCTGGCTTCCGGCTAAGGAACCCCAGTTAGACTGAAACCTTTCACAAGCTCTTTACGGTGTGAACCTGCATTCTTCGTGTCAGGGGTCTGGAATACCGGGTGCTCCAGGGTGATAAGGTAACCCAGGCAGAACAGCCTAGGGAAAAGCGAAATCTCACGGCTCCAGCCTTCTTTCCTCATAACTGAACTCCTCAGCATTACTGGGCTTGGAGGAGTGAGCGAGAGGCCTGTTTGATTTTAACTCACAGGAAGGAAAGAAGACGAGGGTTGGCGGTGCCTGTGATTCCCGCACTCGGCCTCGGTGCTGGTTTTAAACCCAGCGTGTGTTGCTTGGATTACCTGAACATCAGGATTTTAAATTGGGTACAGAGCTCAGAAACTGGACTCTCCCTCTAGCCCTTTTTTGGAAATGTCAGAGCTCTTTGGCCCACTTTCTTTCTTTTGGCAATAGGAAAATCATAGAGCCTACCCCATTTCACTTACAGGTAACTTACGACATCAGAATTCAGTTCTCTGGCCTTTGGTTAAACATGTGCATGCACAGGGCAGATGCAATCTATTAACACAGCCCCTCTTAAACGTCTATCAATGTTGCTACAATTCCATCAATGTTGCTAAAATTGTAACAAAGGCTAAAAACATACAATGCTGCATGTCAACATGTCCTGTTTTCAAAGCAGGGAGCTTTTCACTTGAGTGAGTTGGTTGCGGTTTGGTTCACTAGGATTCACATAGCCCTCAAGGTCGGGTAACAGAGTGCCTGCAACGGCCCCATGGACGACAGGCCTTCGCGCCCCTAGTTTTGGGCATTCTGTCTGCTGGGGCTGGGAACCTCTTCCTAGGAATCACCTGACACTTCCTGAGTTTACAGAGGGGCCACCAGAGCTCTCCTGTACCCAGGTGGCCCTAGGTGTGCCCTGGTGTGACACCTCCCCACGCGGGGACCTTTGAGTAGTGTGGCTGGGTCAGTCTGCTCCACACCAGGGCCCGGCTCACGCCTGCTCTGCACGACGGCCCGGCTCACGCCTGCTCCGCACCAGGGCCCGGCTCAGGCCTGCTCTGCCCAGGCCCTGGGGGAAGACAGGAAACCTTGGTGGCAGGTGGTCAGCCCTGTGCCAGGCACATTGGGCCTCCTCCAGGCAACCCTGGCCAGAGCCACTGTCAGCCACAGCCGCAGGAGACCACAGGCAGCCTCCCGAGCCACTGCCTGCTCTGCTCACAGCACAAGCAGCTGTGTCTCAGGCGTCCTGTGTGGATGGAGCACAGAGGGGACCCTTCTCTGTGAGGCTTCCTCCAACTCTGAGGAGCTAGATCTACAAGAACAGGTAGTAAAGGGAGAAATAAACAAACAGACAAAACCCCAAACCTTTCCTCTCCCTGAAATGGCTATTTCAAGAGGTCTATGTGGACAAAAAAGTGTCAAGACCATTTTTGAAGTCAAAGTGCTTGGAAAAAAGTCCAGCGAAGTCAGTGCTGCCTTTCCTTCCACAGGCTGTGCCCAAGCCCTCCAGTGCCCCCAAGAGAGTCTCAGAATCAAACAAAACTTCCAAACAAAAATCCTACACATGCAGGGGTAAGTCTTGTGGGCACTGCAGAACAAAGGCTGAATGTGTTTCACTAACACGAATAATACATGACTAAGAACGCTGACAACAAGGCAGCTGAAGGGAGCTCCCGGACAGTCAGCCCTCAGTGTGGCCTGAGTTTCGCCGGCGCGGGGAGGAGAGCAGTGCCCTGGAGCCGTGGCTGGACGCCGCAGGAGGTGTGTATTATTTGCAGTTGGCATCAGAGCGAGGGGCGTCCGCACACCCCTTGCTCTCTGATGTTTCTCTAAATGGATTCGGTGGAGACACGGCCGTCGGGGTCCAACGATGGGGGAAGGGGCACCCCAGCCTGCGCAACTCCCCCACCCCGGCCCAGCTCATGGTGAGCACACTGGCAGCATGGCCACAGTCCGGCCAGCGGCATTGCCAGGCTGAAATCACTCACGCACCATGTAGCCAGGGGCCCTGAGCCCCGGCTCCCCCATTCTGCAGTCTGGTGACGTGGTCCAGAGGCGTCAGATGACACCACATTTCAGATAATGCCCCAGACACACATTCTGTGATCCAACCCATCTGTGCTCGTCTCTGGACCATTCCGGGGAGGCATTCCCTGGAGGGAAACCTTCCAAGCAATGGCCGGGTAAGTGACTCTCAGGCTTACAAACAAGATGGGACTTATCTGACCGAATGTCAGAGGAGGTAGCCAGGAAGGGCAGGAGGGGAGGATGGCGGGTGGAGGGAGAGCCCCACGGGCCTGTTTGGCGGTCAGGGACCACAGCAGCGACAGGTAGGAGGCAGGGGACCCCAGGCAGGCTGGCAGCGTCCACGCATGGCAAAACAGAAGGCTCTGGACCCAGCATGCAGGTGTCAGGGTCAGGCCCTGGGCCCACGGGCTGGCCTGGAGTACCCGTGATCCACAGAAGAGAAGGGTCATGGTTCCCAGGCAGTAGCTGCGAGGTGAAGGGAGTCTCTGCAGAGGCTGGAGGAAGGAGCTGCAAAGGTCTGGTGGGGAAGGAAAAAGCCCCTTCCGGAGCCCCTGGGGGCACAGGCCCAGCGCTCAGCCCTTAGAGGCAGAGTCCATGCCACTGGCTCGCCCCACACGTCACACAGAACTGCCTCTCTCCAGCTGCTGTCTCTCCCAGCTCAGACTTTCCTGCCTTGTCTGGAATAAAGAGCAGCACTGTTTGCTTTTAGAAAGGGTGGTTGTCTAGTGACTACTAAAGAAACTTCTCTTTCCTGTGCTTCTTGTGAGGGACACACGGCACAACGCTGCTTCGTGACTGCGGAGCCTTCTCTGCTTCAGAAGGGAGCTGTCCGCCAGGTGGGCGCATGTCAGACGGTCTGTGTGGTCTACTGCAGACACCTCGGCACTGCTGTGGCTCTGGCGGAGACACACAGATCCCAGGCCGTCTGCAGGGCACACACATGTCCCTCTGGTGGGAGCCGGGTCTTGCTCCAGCCAGCCAAGAGCATCCTCTGCACCACTCCCTCTCTCTCCCTAAAACAGGCGTTTCTTCCTCAAGGGTCCTGTGACTTCCCGTTCCTGCCCCACAGAGGGAGACTGGGGAAGAGTGAGGACCGGCCACAGCCCCACACTGAGAGGGCTGGATGGGAGCCAGGTGTGCACCCATTGCAGGGAATGTGGCCCAGGGCCGCCCACCATGAGTGGCAGGGCCAGTCCTCCACCACTGGGTATGCCGGCTGCAGCCCCACCTCATGGCTGTCCTGCCTGCATCCCTTGCCCACCCCCACCCTCGCCAGCCCTTGGCCCACGATGGACCACAGCGTCCTCCCCCTCCTCCCTCTTGGTCTCATCTCACAAGCCTGGCACTCGGGGTACAGCTGGTCACCTTGGCTTTAGCCGTGTGACCCAAGGGACACTTTGGCACATGGATGGGGGGATGGGGGGGCGCAGACACAGGCAGAGGAGAAGAGGAAGGAGCAGCGGATTCTTCTAACCACTAGTTCTAGGGCAGCAGGTGCGGCTCTGGGTGCTGCTGGCTTCATGCAGGTCACGGGTGGGGTGACGGCCGGGCACTGGGCCCGGGAGAATGGCGCATGGTCTCAGTCTTCCTGCAGAGTGTGACCTCTGGGGCCTACTCAGTGGCCATTTGCTCAATGTGGTCACTAAGCAGCTTGTATTGCTCTGGAAGAGAAAGCGATGTTATTTCTCAGATGAAAGATGGTGACAGGGACAGATGTGTCCTGCTCTTGTCACTCGGACAGGGGTGAATCAGGGCCTCCCTGGCAGCAGGGCTGTGGCTCCTGAACTGCACTGCCTTCCGCAGGCCACACAGCTTGCGCGCTTCGGGGCAGGGCTGTGCCATGAGGGCGCGCTGCACACGCAGCCTCTTGGCCAGCACGCCGCCTGTGGGGCAAGCAGGTGGCTGGAAGGGGCCCTCAAAACTGGGAACACACCTTCTTATGAAAATGGTGTCATGGGGCGCAGCCCCTGCAGCCTGTGACAGGCACGGGGCAGACAGTCCAGCCACCCTGGGGACTGGGAGAGGTGGCAGCATCCCCCTTGCCCTGTGCCAGTGAGGTGGGGCTGCTAGCAACATTCTGAGACAGTCTAACGGTCACTGGCGCCCTCATGCCTCCTCAGGCCGCTCCACCACAGATCCCTTGAATTAGGTGGAGAACGGGATTTTCTGAAGAATATGGGTCGATCCGTATCCACGCCTAAGTGTAAGTCCTTTTTGACGCAGAGGAACCAACGCTTGCAGCAGATGGGGCCGCACACAGGGACTGGCCCCCGCGCAGGAGGGCGTCAATGTCACAGCATTTCCCTGCTGTCACGGAAGCCAGAGATTCCAGAGAAACCTCAAAACTCCCTCCCCACCACCCTTGTCCCCTGGCACTCATCATAGCAGTGTGGTCTGAGAAAGAAAAGGACGCCACGCGGGAGCCATTTAGAAGGGGGCAACTTGGGGCCAGAGTTTGGCTCCATGCAAGCTGAGTCCAAGCGCTGCATCCCCCTCTTCTCTGTCCTGTGAACACCGGGGCTGCAGCCTCAATGCCCACAATCCCATCTAGCAGAAATGGATTCCAAATGGAACGAGAGGTGTCCTGTGTGTCCGTCTACACAGACTGGGGAGAGAGGAGGGCCGTCTGCCCAGAGCTCAGCACATTTCCGACTGCAACACGACATGCCTTCTGGCAGTGCAGAAGCGCCAGCGGGCGCAGCACTGGCTCCTGACCCCAGCCCTGCCCGCCTCCCGCCAGCGGCCTCCCGCAGACGCACCTTCATCCAGGTTGCCAATCACAGCCTGCTTCTTCAGGAAGTCATTGCACAGCTTCTTGTTCAGTCCGAAGGCCAGCATGTTGTGCGAGAACGTGCTGCAGGAGAAAACCCAAGAGCGTCACCCGCCGGCTTCCCAGGGGAAAGGGCCAAGGAGCTGGGCCCTCATCTCTGGGACGCCCACCGTGGCCTGCCTGGAATTGTCAGCAAAAACTGAAACGCACTGCCGCCTAATTAACCACCAGCAACTCTCGCTGCGGCACTGCGGCCACCAGGGGTTGCGTAGGAGGCGGATTGATTATGAGCTGGCATGGAGGCCAGTGTAATGAACTCCATGCCTCAGAGCAGGCTGACACAGCACCCCAGGGTGTGACAGCTCACAGGTCGTGACAGCTCACAGCGTGGGCCCGCCCCCTCTCTCCCTGCCCCCTCTTTCCCCTCCCCCTTTCCCACGCCCGCCCTTACCCCAGCTGCCCAAAGGTGATGTTCTCGTTGAACCGGAGGCTATCATCGCGCTCCTCCTGCGTCATGTGGCACCACTTCTCCCTGCAAGCACAGGAGGTGACAGGAGCGGGACTCAGACGGTGCTGTCCTTGCCCCTGCTCCTCGCCCTGCTCTGACCCGCGGGTGCTGACGGCACCCATGTACGGCCCCCCGGGCACAGAAGGGGGTGCCTTTCACCAGAGAGCCGTGTGCTGAGCCTTTCCACAAGGCCTGCCGGGATCCTGACACCGCGCTTGGGGTCCCCAACGTTCATCTCACTCTTCACAAGATAAAGAGACGCGGAAACAGAAGGGTTCTTTATGGCCCTGAAGGTGCGGAGCGCCACGCGGCTACCCAGGCATTCTACAGGCAGCGGGGCCGGCCCCAGAGCCTCGCTACAGCGGGAGAGTGGGGTCTGGGCCCGTCCTCGGGGTAGAAACCTCCAGAGAGGGAGGGGACCTGCCCAACATCCCAGGACAGCGGGCCTTGGTGGCCCAGGGAACGTTTTCAGATCACACCCGTGTCTCCTGACCAGCCTGATGGGCCAGGCGAGCTGCGACATCCTGGGGCCAGTTGCGGATGGCAGCTTCCACAGAGGCTGAGGGCACGGAGGGCCACACTGTGCCCTGCCTGAAGAGGGCTGTGCCCTGCTCAGCTGTGCCTTCTCTGGGTTGGCTTTCTCAAGGCCCTCAATGCTCTCTCTAGTCCCCTCCCTAGACCAGGCCCCCACGCTTCCCGCTGGCCCCTCTGACCGTGACCCTGTGGGTGTTGTGGACCATAGTGAAGACAGCACCCAGGCGTGAGAACAAAGTGCTGAAAACCCAATGAGACGGCATCGACCGAGGTTTGCACCGAGCTTCAGGAGCCGGGGGGCACCCTGACGCGTTCTCCGCACAAGGCCTGGGGTGGGAGGGTGTTCTGAGCGTTCGCCTGCTGTATGCTTTAGAGGGGAGTGCTGTTAATCCCTCGTCTGGGGCAGAACAAGGGGGCTCTCCACTCCTTCCCAGCCCTCATTGCCACAGAGCTTTTCTGCGTTGCCGGCTCGTTCCCCGCCCCTTGGGCAGGGCCTGGGGCCTCCCTGACCCTTACACAACTCCCTGGACACCACGCCCATCTGAGAAGCTACCTGCAGAGGCAGCTGCGAACGTGCAGACATTAATTTGAGCCCCTTTCCCCTTAAAAAGAAAACTGGATGGATGAGTCTGACTAAAATAAGGTTGAGAGGAAGATCAAAGAAGGGGGAGAAGGATGGTATGAGAGGGTGAGAGGTTGGGATCATGGAGAAGCCAGAGGAAGAGAAACAAAACAAAGGAACATGAACTCCTGGCTCCTCGCCACCCCCGGCCCACGAGAGGTCACTGGCACTGCTGCAGCTTAGCAGGCGTCACAGGGCATCAGGGGCATGATGGGAGTGACGGACAAAGGTCATTCCCGGCCTCCTTGTGCCGATGGCAGGATGCCCACGAAGATACCAGAATATACTTCCAGGTACTCTGCAGAGTCCCGTCCCATTTCCTTCCTACTGTCTTTCCCCAAAACAGCCCCCCTGAGGGTTGTTCAGACATAAACCCCTGCACCACCCGCAGGCCTGCTGCGCACAGTTGGGCAGGTTGGGCCCTGCACGGCCCCAGACCGCACGGGAACGGCTCCCTTGGAGTCGTGCAGCACAGGAGCCCTGACCCCTCCTCTCCTGAGCCAGATGACGCGGCGATTCTTCTCGCCATGGTGAGGACGAAAAGTGAGACATTTAACCTGACGTCTCAAGAAAGAGGTAAATGGTCACTGGCAGTAGCAGATGAGGTAATGTCCACAATAAAATCACTTCTTACAACTGACTTCAGGCCGCGCGCGGTGGCTCATGCCTGTCATCCCAGCACTTTGGGAGGTTGAGGCGGTCAGATCACCTGAGTTCAGGAGTTCAAGACCAGCCTGGCCAACATGACAAAACCCCATCTCTACTAAAAATACAAAAATTAGGCCGGGCGCGGTGGCTCATGCCTGTAATCCCAGTACTTTGGGAGGCTGAGGCGGGTGAATCACCTAAGGTCAGGAGTTTGAGACCAGCCTGACCAACATGGTGAAACCCCGTTTCTACTAAAAATATGAAATTAGCCAGGCATGGTGGTGGGCACCTCTAATCCCAGCTACTTGGGAGGCTGAGGCAGGAAAATCGCTTGAACCCAGGAGGTGGAGGTTGCAGTAAGCTGAGATTGCACCCCTCCACTCCAGCCTGGGCAACAAGAGTAAAACTCCATCTCAAAAAAAAGAAAAAAAGAAAGAAAAAGAAAAGAAAAAAGAGAAAAGAAAAGAAAAATCAGCCGGGCGTGGTGGCGAGTACCTGTAATGCCAGCTACTTGGGAGGCTGGGGCAGGAGAATTGCTTGAACCCAGGAGGTAGAGGTTGCAGTGAGCTGAGATTGCACCACCGCACTCCAGCCTGGGCAACAGAGCGAGACTCCATCTCAAAAAACAAAACAAAAAAGAGTTCAATTTCCAGTGCCAATCAAGCTCTGACACTGCACAGCGAGCTGAACTTGCGTCTACACTGCTTTGGTGGGAATCTGGATGGGACTGACCGCCTGCTGCGAGGGAAACCTTCTGAACGGAGAAGCACCTGCCTCTGGAAACAGAGAGGATGATAATGGCTTCTTGCTGTCAGCAGAGGTTACCAAAAAAGAGATGGCATGTTAGAGGCATGAGGTTGCCTGGGGACTTGGAGGCAACCTCGCCCCCTGCCACCTGCCTCAATCTCAAAGCAATATTCAGCCTTCTGGGGAAGGCTCAGGGGCCGGTCAGAGATGAGGAGCCGGTGCAGAGCTATGTGTGGTCAAAGCTAATCTGCCCTGGTGAGAAGGCCCAGGAGGCCAGCTGTCCCCTCAGCTGAGCTCAGGACAGACCACCCCTCCCCAGCAGCACCGACCAGCTCTCAGAGGATGCTGAGATGCTCCCAGCCCTCCTTGGGCCAGGGCTGTGGGGCTGACTTGTTCCTGGAAGGCTGGTTAATCACACTGTCACCCAGAGAGTCACTGAAAACCCAGGGGCTTTGTTCATGAAAGGAGGTGTTTGTTAGGCCTAAGTGCTCCTTTAAAAGCCATAGGTCTGCATAAGAAACGTGATTGCTCACGACAATAAACACCACACATGTCACTGATTAGAGGAGGCAACTTCACGCATCCTCCAGCGAGACATCGTAACAGGGACTCTTATTTGAAGAGGCAGATCGGCAACTCGGAAAACACATCACAGAGGATTCTAGCCCGCAGAAAGGGGAACAGGGAGAGTCAGACCCCTCTGTGGGCTGGCAGGAAACAGCCCCGTTCTAGGATTTCCTCAGGGACCCCTCGCACCCCCATCCCCGAGCGGCTGGGAAAGTGGGAGTGTGTCCCTCTTCCGGGCCTCCTCAACCTGGCGGCCCCAGCACACCCGAGAGTGGGTGGTGTTGCAAACAGGACGGGCTCTGCACCCCACCCGCGGTTTCCCAGATGAGCCGGGACCTACTTCTCCAGTGTGAACAGTGAGGCCAAGCGTGAGGCTTTCAGGTCTGCTCAGAAGGGGCCGGAGCGGCTGGCGGAGAGCACGGCTGGCCCAGAACTGGAGCCCGCTTTCCCTGGCATCACCGCCTCTGCCTCTCGAGCTCATGCTGTCGCCAGGGCGTCTCAAGGTGTCACATTTGTTTTCTGACTATTTCGGAGTGCTCTGGCCTTGGCAGGCTCCCACCTGCCCAGTTCCGGGATGCATTGCCAGCCTGCCCTAGTGCTGGCCTCACCTCCCCAGGGCTGCCCTCCCCACCGGCTGCCAGGCTGCACCTGCGTCTGGGCTGTGCCTGCTGCAGCAGCTCAACACAGTGCACAGCCCCCAACCTGAAGTGACCTTTGCAGGAGCCCGCACTGTAAAATGGAACAAAGTCACGTGGACACACACACCTCTTCTCCTCCTCCTCTCCAGCATCCCCTCTGGAGCGGCAGCAGAAACAGGTAAACAAAGGAACATGTCAAAGTCATGCAAGATATGTGGATGGTAAAAAGAGAACAAGCAGAGGAGGGTTATTACAGGCAGAAACGAGCGGGACAGAGAAAGACAGGATATTCGAAATAAATTAACTTCCTAGAAGTCTGAGAACTAAAGAGGCAACGCCCATCTGCCTAGAGGCATCTAAGCATTTCCCTGTTCTGGTCTCCCTCCAGAGCGGGGTCTCTCTCGAGGGTCCTCGGGCAGTCTCAGTGTCTTTCCCTCTCCACGAGCCCCTGTGCCTCCCCAGGAAATGCGGCCATGGCAGAATGCTCTGGGTCCCTCGCCCCTGATAGGGTTTTAGCTGCCCCTAGAGGGAAGAATTTCACTTGAGACACGGCAAGTGCTGGGAGACTCGAGTCTTCCCCCCAACAGCAGCCATCTGCCCACTCTCCTGACGAGGGTTAAGGGTAGAGGGTCTCCCTGGTGTTACAGAGAGCCGGATGTGCTTTATTAATAAGGAGACCAGGGCCCGGAGAGGTTCAGAGCCTTCAGTCACACGACTGGAAGGGGCTCCCCCGGGGGCTGCTGTCCCTCGCTGTCGTGTCGCTGTACACGGTGGATGGCACCTTTGCTTGCTATGGTATCGGCCCCCGTGGAGTGGGTGCCAGCCCCCCCTGCTGCCATGTGCGAGGTGGCCCTCAGCGAAGCTGGGAAGGTCTGGTCAGGCTGCAGACCCAAGAGGTGAGTTGCGAGCGGCAACTGCATTCACCAGGCACCAGCTCTCGAGGGCAAAGTCTCGGGGGAGGTGGCCAGCCCTTCCTCCCAGGACCCTGCTCCAGGCGTTCATCCCCAGGATGCTGATTTTGTTCAGCAAACAGCAGGGTGGACCCGGGAGCAGGGGTCCTGATGGTATTAGAGGGAGCTGGCAATTTTAAGAGGGTCAGGCCAAGTCATGCCAGAGCCCCAGGACAGAAAGCGCTCATGCAAGCTGAGCACCCCCACCCATGAAGCCGAGACCCTCAGGCAGCTTGCAGGGCACCAGGGCCATGACGGGGTGAAGAAAAACCAGACACATCCACTCAGCTGCTCTTCTGCTCTCCTCTTCCGCAACCGGGAAATAAAGCCACTCCCTGGTCCTTTTTCCTGAGGCCAAATGGGGCCACACTTTGCTCCTACCTGGTAGTGGGAGATCGCTTTGTCCTCTCACAATGGACAGCGTCAAAAAAGGCTGCATTCCAGAACCTCAGCGTGTGCCTGCAAGACAGAGCCCTAGTCACACTCTCTCCAAGGGGAGGCCGGGAGGACACGGGTCGTGGGCCACTTGAGGGATAAATAAGGGCAGTGTCTCACATCTGTCTGAGCTTCTAAAAAAGCCTCAGAGAGGTAGGGCTGAGGAGGAAAAACTGAGCATATGGCTTGATCTAAATAAAGCTGTTTCCCCGGGGCTGCCGGTGGCTGCGTATCTCTTAGGAGAGATGGCGCAAGTGGGAGGGAAAACTACGCTATCCCGGGCTGCACCGCGGGCAGGAGGGCACTGGCGGGCAGAACTGAAGCCACCATCTGTAGGACACAGAGGCGGGCCGTTTTCTTCTTCCGCCTTTCCTGCTGGGACTCCCAAGAGGAAGCACAGGGCTGGGAAGATGTGCTTTTCTACATCAGGGTCTAGTAACATAAATGGGAACCCGGCAGCGACACGTCGTGTGCCGAGAGAACTAACGTTCATAGGGACACTCAAGGAAAAAACATTCTTTGGGGTTTTTTTTTTTTTTTTGAGATGGAGTTTCACTCTTGTTGCCCAGGCTGGAGTTCAATGGTGTGATCTCCACTCACTGCAACCTCTGCCTCCCAGGTTCAAGCATTCTCCTGCCTCAGCCTCCTGAGTAGCTGGGATTACAGGCACACACCACCACAACAGGCTAATTTTGTATTTTTAGTAGAGATGGGGGTTTCGCCATGTTGACCAGGCTGGTCTCGAACTCCTGACCACAGGTAATCCGCCCGCCTTGGCCTCCCAAAGTGCTGGGATCACAGGCATGAGCCACAGCGCCCAGCAGAAAAATTCTTCTTTTTTTTTTTTTTTTTTTTTTTGAGACGAGTCTCGCTCTGTCGCCCAGACTGAGTGCAGTGGGATCTCAGCTCACTGAAGCTCCGCCTCCCGGTTCACGCCATTCTCTGCCTCACCTCGGTACTGACTACAGCCCGCCACCTCGGCTAGTTTTTTTTTTTTTTAAAGACTTTCACCGGTTAGCCAGGATGTCTCGATTCCTACTTGATCCGCCCTCGGCTCCAAAGTGCTGGATACAGGCTTGACACCGCCCCCGAAAATTCTTCTTAAAGAACATCAGGGGTTGGCAAACTATGGTGTGTAGGCTGAAGCAGGCCGGCGGCTTGTTTCTGTAAATAAAGTTTTATTGGAACAAGCCACGCTCATACATTTATACAACGTCTCTGGTGGTGTTCACGCTACAACAGCATAGTGGTGTGGCTGCAGCAGAGACCATCTGGCCCGCAAAGCCTAACATATTTATTATCTGGCCCTTCACAGAAAAGTTTGCCAAGCAACAATGAAAAGACAGCAGCCAAGTCAAGGACAGAGGAGCTGAGCTGAATCACCAGAAGGCGGGACAAAGCGCGCCAGCTTCTCCCCGTCCTCTGCTTCCACGGGAACCGGGTCCAGCCTCAAGGGCCTTCCTACAGCTCCAGCCCTGCCCTCTGCCCTCTGGGTCCCTGCGGCACTCCCTGGCCAAGCTCCTTAAGTAGCCCTTGCTTGGTTAACAGGCAGAATGCGCCACAGCCAACTGTGATCTTCAGGGGAGGGAGGGCCTGTCGGACACTGATTCCAGGTGTTAGCAAAGCACTCTAAAATATGTTGAGAGGCTTCAGAGAGATTAGCGCAGCCTGACCATCATCTGCAGAGCTGGGCCATACGCCAGGGTGGCCAAGATTTCCCCTGCAACACTGGTCTCACTTCAACCATCACCTTCATTCATTTATATACATGTAAGAGCTTAATTGGGATATAATTCACATGCCATGAAATTCGCCCTCTAAAATATACAATTCAGTAACTTTTAGTGTATTCACAGAGTTGTGCAGCCACCATTTCCAGAACATTCCCTCACCCCATAAAGAAACCCCATCCCCATCAGCAGTCACGCCCTGCTCCCCATTCCGCGCCCTCTGCCCGGGCTATCAGTCATCTGCTGTGTCTCTAGGAATCTGCTATTCTGGACATTTCACAGGGATGATACAATACGTGGGCTTCTGTGCCTGGCTTCTTCCACTGAGTTTCACACATTTCCCAGGCCTATCCCTGCTGCGGTGTGGAGCGGCATGCCATTCCTTTTCATGGCTGGCTACTATTTCATGCAATGGATGGATTTTGTTTACCCATTCATCACTGGATGACCATGAAGGTGGTTTCCACTTTGGGGCCATAATAAATGACGTTGCTACAGACATTTGTACAAGGTTTTGTGAGGACACGTTTTTCTCTTGGATGACTCCTAGAGTGGAGCTGCTGGCTCACAGGGTAACTCTGTGTTTCACCTTTAAAGGAACTGCCAGACTGTTTCCACAGCGGCTGCTCCATTTACATTCCTCCTAGCCATACAGGAGACCTCCAATTTCTCCACATCCTCGCCAATGCCTGTGAGGGTTCATCTTTTTATTTTGCCACCCTGGGGGGTGCAAGAATTCTGCCATTCTGATGGGGACAAAGGCAACTAGAAGCAATCCTGGGGAGTGACTGCTGGCCCCGTAGGAGGGTGACAGGAAGCCACGGGCTCGGCCTTACCAGATGGGCTGCTGCTTCAGGTGCGTGTACAAGTAGATCTTCTCCCCCTTCTTTTCGTCCTCGGGGCTGTACACAGTCACTGTGGGAGAAGAAAGGCTGAAAGCAGCTCCGGCTGCGTGCCCGCTGTTGGCAAACCCCGGGCGACAGCCTCCCAGCAGCCAGTTTCTCCCCGAATGCCACAGAAACATGTGGTGCAAACTCCACCATGGCTTTTCTGCTAGCCATAGCCAGTAATGGTGCTATTCCCACCCGGCAATAAGGACTTCCTCTGAGGGATGGTTCCACAGCACAGCCGCAGCCCCTCGCGGTAACCCTTAGCCTTCCTGGGATTAAGGAATTTAGTTCCTCCTTAGAAAAGTGGCTCTTCCACAGAAACTCAGTGAGAAAATACAGACCACGGGAGCTGGAAAGCAACTGGGGCATCAGCCAGGGCAAGTTTCCTGTGCTCCGTGGAGGCAGGAAAGCCCCAGAGGCCGTGCACCTGCTTGTGTGCTGGCTGAGGGGGTGTGGGCCAGGCATCTCCTGCTGTTGCCTGGGCAGACTCACCAGCCCTGGGCCGCTTCTCCTGGGGTTTGCTCTCGTCTTCCCTGAGGGAAAGAAGGCACCATGACGACAGATGCGACTCACACCACACTTTCTCAACTCAAAGACGTTGTTCTATACTTCTCAGGTGGGACTGGCTACATTTAATATGGCTTGCTCTGAAAAGCCTTTTATGAAATCAAGGCTCTATTTGTCAACTGCCAGTGTTTCAGAATTCAGGAAATGTGGCATTGAGGTTTCTTTATGTCATTTTCTCTGAATCCAAAGCTGAATGGGGCAGAGGAGGAGGCCAAGGCACCTGGCTGCGGCCCAGCCATGGGTGGGAAGAGGGGACCCCGGGGCTCCCTCTGGCTGCCGCATCCCTCCTCCTTGTGGAAGTCATAGCTTCTATGAGTCTATTTCTGATGTGCCTGTCCCCAAAGTGTTCCTCAAGTGTCTGTCACAGCCCTGCTCTCCTGGGAACAGTGTTTTTCTCCTGTGACTCAAGACCGTGTTCCACAAGCACTCACTCTTGGTCCAGCCAGGGGATGGGGGGGACAGAGGAGACAGAGTGGAGGGGCTGCAGTTCCCTCTGCCATCGGACAATCCCCTGGGCTCCTCATCAGTCCCAGGGAGTGTGGCCCCCAGGGACATCCCTGCACGTCACTGGGGGGCTCGGCTTTGCAGACCATATAGCAAGCTGTGGGGGCAGAGGCGGCTGGGCAGCGCAGTGCTCCTGACAGTCTCTGGGCCTCACTCGAACCCTCCCTGCTGCCCCCACCAGAGCTCCACACCAGCTTCTCCCCCGTCCCATGCAGGTGGGAGGGACCCCAAGGCCACACGTACTCGTTCCTCCTGGCCAGGGGCCCCTTCAGCTTGGTCTCCAGCCCCCCGAAGAAGCCCTTGACATTCTCCGTCCTGGCCGAGGTGTTCTTCAGCAGCCGCTCGGCGATGTCCTTCTTCTCGGCCAGCCAGCTGTTTGCGGATTTCAGGTAGGAGTCGATGCTGCCCGCGGGCTTCTCCCGGGCCTCCGGGGGCAGCAGCTGCGGTTTTCCTTGGACGAGAGAGGGAACAAGACGAGGCCAGTGAGGCCGGGGTCTGCACCTGCTAACTGCAGAGGCCCAGGGGGAGCCCCGCAGGGGTCCTGTGCAGTGGGGATACAGGAGCCTCCCTCCTCAGCCCAGGACGGGGGTGGTGCAGGCTCAGCTGGCCCAGGATGAGGAAGTGGGGGCCCTGCTCCCCGTGAGCACTCTCAGCACCTGCTGTGCACAGAGAAGCCACTAGGAGCAGGGAGGGAGCAAAGGAGATGCAGGCTGGAGCCCGGCCCAGGTGGCAGGGTCTGCAGGGAGGCGAGGGCAGAGGCCCGACCATGCCAGCGCCAGGGAGGCAGAAGCCAGCTGGGCACCAGGCCCCTGAAATGGGAGTGCGGAGACAGCAGGGGGGTGGGGAGCCCTGGCACCCAAACTCCCTTAGCCAATGGACGGACACGAGGCCCTGGCACCCCCGCAGGATGACGTACCCCCAGGGGCCCCAGTGCCCACTATAAGTCAAAGGTTCTCTGTAGGCCCTGGCAGGGTGTCCTCACTAGCTGCAGCTGCTGTGGGTAGCCCTGTCTCAGGAAGCAGCGTCTATTCATTATGTGTCTGTCTGTTCTTCAAAAAGGAAGAGCCAAAGGCTGTACTGGGGGTTCCCACTCCACCCAAAGCAGCTGATGAGTGGCCTGGCGGGAAGGGCTTGCCCGCTGGTGTGGCTGGGACACCAGCCATGGCGGTTGGACCAAATGAACTGAGGGGTGCGGAGAGGACAGCTGTGGGAGGGGGAGCAGATACACACACCCCAAGAGTGAGCATGCAGGTACTGAGAGAGGACAGCACGGGGGGTCGGGGCCTAGCACCTCCCTGACCCAGCTCCAGTCCACGTGGAGGCTTCCAGCAACCTTCCACTTATGGTGGCCTGAATGAGTCCTGCTGCTGCAGCCCAAGGAGACTCACGCAGGAAGCCCTTGAGCTCCAACGTACCAGAAAGTTCCAACGGAATGAGGCAGAAGAGATGTCATAGCCTCAGCATCAAGAACAGTCCACACTCCTCATAAGCCATCTCCAGCCCATCCCTGGGCACTCTCTGCCACTTCAGATCCTAGACGGCTGCTCCCCACCACCCTCCAATAACCAACCGTGTCTTGTTTTGGTAAAACATAAAACTGATTATCTTCACATCCAGCAGTTCCTGCCTCCACCATAAAACGTCCTGCCTAGCATGTTTCTCCTATCAGCTCGGGAGTTTCCTTTGCACCCTGGTCAGTCAACCTCCCACCCCATGATTCGGACCATGTTTTCTCTGAAGTCTCACTCCTCCCTAACACCAGCGTCCTCTGTTCTCTGGAGGCCCCGCAGCTTTTGCTTTTAACCATGAAGAAAGCTTCCGCTGACACATTATTGGCTGGCGAGCCTCAGGATCCCGTGGGTGAACCCCACATCAGCCCACCCGTGTCTTACCGATGTGGTAGTAGGTGAAGCACATGGTCATGAGGTTCTTGGCAGGCCCAAAGTCATCCATCTGATGACACCTGAAACAAGAGGCAAGGTTCACGGCTAAAGATCGCTCCACTTGCTTCTCCTTGCAAGTCGGTCAGCCATCGCTGAGACACTTGACACATGTGTCCCAATTAGTATCTTCCCCCCTGGAGACGCACAAAACAATCTCCCTGAGTTCCATTAGGAGAGCTACACACAGGCACATGGCCTGGGACTGACTGAATGGGAAGGAGTTTGTGGTCTGCCTGCCTGGCTTCCTTCACTGAAAAGGTAAAGCCAGGGCCCGGGAAGCTCAACTCGACGCCCAGGAGCAGAGCCAGGCCTCAAGTCTCAGTGCACAAGAAGCCGGGCCTCAGGTCGCAGTGCACACCCGTGGCCCAGGCCACCTAGCTCTCCAGCCCTTGCCTTCTCAGGAATTAGCAGTAAGTTGGAGGACCTTCCCCGCATCTGTGGCTCTCAGGCTCCTGCCCACAGCATAGGTGGTGGGGCATCAGGAGGTGGAGCCTCTGATCCAGCAGGTCTTGGTCTTGGGCGGGGCCATTCCTTTGTATTGCAGGTTTCTTTGTCTTTCTATCCTGATCCCTTTTAGACTTTTCTTTTCTGTTTAGGTTTTAACTTTGGGCAATTATTACTTTACGAGTCAAAAGAAATTATCTAGACAGTGGGATTAAGGGCCATTTTTATCTTTTTATATAAAAAACTAACTAAACTAGTAATAAAACTATAAAAGACTAAAAGTAAAAACTAAAGATGTTTAACAAACTAAAGATTATAAAACTAAAAAATCCCATATTGTCTAAATATTAAAAGAGTTTTTGTTTCACTTTGTTTTTGCAACTATACAAACATATATATGCTCAGGGACCAAGTGATGGCAAGAATCTTTGTGTTTTGGCAGGTTGGGACTTTAACGCCTCCCTCCCCAACTTACTTGTGTAAGACAAAAAACTCAAAGAAAAATGGAGAATTACTTTTAGCCTAGTGCAAATAAAAAAAAAGAAAATGGAGACTCAGAATTGTGCAAAATGGGGGTTCGTGAAAATGCCTGGGACTGCATATGAGACTGCATATGTTGGAAACTGAAGTATCTTAATTGCATGAGAGAATGTTTCACAAAAGGCAACCTAGAGGGCCTGTTTTAAACCACTACCCTCTTGGCTGAAGGTGAGGGCTCACTCAGCCTCTTCCGGTGAAGGTTTCTCAGCCCTCCCCTGGCCAGCTCTGAAGGCCAGACCTCAGAGGAGAAATGGATCTTGGACTTCGGGTATCCTGAGAAAGCGTAGGAAAAATAGGGATCCTCCTTTTGTTGGTTTTCTTCTTCCAGTATATGCCCAAGTTCAAAGAGAAAGAGAGAAAGGGGAGAGACATGAAGAAGCAGGAGAACTGGGACTCGAGAGAGCAGGCTGGGTGTGGTGCTTCATGCCTGTAATCCTAGCAGTTTGGGAAGCTGAGGAAGGAGGACTGCTTGAGCCCAGGAGTTTGAGACCAGCCTGGGAAACATAGGAAGACTTCATCTCTACTAAATGTGTGTGTGTGTGTGTGTGTGTGTGTGTGTGTGTGTGTCTATGTGTATATATCTATATGGAATATGGCCAGGCGTGGTGGCTCACTCCTGTAATCCCAGTACTTTGGGAGGCTGAAGCAGGTGAATCACTTGAGGTCTGGAGTTCAAGACCAGCCTAGCCGACATGGTGAAACTCTGTCTCTACTAAAAATACAAAAATTAGACAGGCATGATGGTGCATGCCTGTAGTCCCAGCTACTCAGGAGGCTGAGGCAGGAGAATTGCTTGAACCCAGGAGGCGGAGGTTGCGGTGAGCCGAGATCCCACTGCACTCCAGCCTGGGTGACAGAATGAGACTCTGTTTCAAAAAAAAAAAAAAAAAAAAAATTTAAAATGAGCCAGGTGTGGCAGCATGCACCTGTAGTCCTAGTTATTTGGGAGGCCGAGATGGGAGGATCCCTTGAACCCAGGAGATTGAGGCTGCAGTGAACTGTGATTGAGCCACTGCACTCCCGCCTGGGTGACAGAGCAACACCTTGTCTCAAAAAAACCCAAAAAACCACAAAAAACGACTCAAGCAGCTATCTTTGGTTGGGAGACAAGGAAGTAAAGGAGGGAGATTTTTCAGGCCTGGAAGGACAAAACAAAGGCAGTGATGTGGGAAGGTGGCGATGGGATGAGCCAAGGACCAGAAGAGGACACACGGCCCAAAGCAGGGGCTGCTTGGAGGCCTTCTGCAGGAGATGGGGATAGTGGGGTGCAGATATGCCCAGATCAGGGCTCCCAGCCCCAGAATCGAGGCTCCAGGTCGGTCAGGCCACTGCCCAGCCTCCCCAAGGCCAAGAAGCATCCCCTCCATTTCACACCTTGGAGGTATGAAGCTGGCCTGGTGACCCCAGAGAGTCATGCTCCTGAGAAGGGGGTCTGTGCCTCATGGAGTCTGGCTCCCTAATCTCACAAGTGAGCAGGGACAGAGATTGGATTGGCCCCAAATCTCCAGCTGGCGGCCATGCCCTTTCCACCACCCCTCACTGCCTACCAAGGGCTTCTGTGATAAAAGGCCCCAGTGGTGCCTAATCAGTGTTCACAGGGAAGGCTACAGTCCTCCCAACATATCATTAAGTGTTTATTTGCTCATGGGGTTGGCAGTTGAGTTTGAAGTACTTTACAACAGGAACTCGGGAAAGTGCCGGAACTCCCAAGGAGGGCAGGGCCACAGTACCTCATCACCACCTGGCCCTGAGGACCTGCACAGAGGATGCTCCTCACATCCAGCTGCAGTCCTCTCATCACTGACAGCTAAGGATGGCCAGCCCTGCTCCTGTGAGATGGTGGTTACGACTGTGCCTTTTAGTTGATGCTGGGTGTAGCAGAGCAATTGCAACCTGATGACTAGCGTGGATATGACTCACAGCTGGTTATGACACGGCTGGGTGGGGAGGAAAGGAAGGAGGGAAGGAGGGAAGAGCTTACCAGGACAAAGGCTTTGTGCAACGGCATTACTTACTCGAACAGCACCACTGCAAAAGACTGCACCAGGCGGTAGAAGGTTGCCTCTGAGACACACTTGGAGTTGCAGCGCTGTCCAGAAAGAGGCCAGACACGTCATTGAGGTTAAGGGCGACACACGCAGCACTCAGTGAAGCTGCAGGCTTTCCACTCTCAGTGTTTCCAAATGCAGCTGGGATGAGGGCCCAGGATGGCTGCTGCCTCTGCACTATAGAACCCGCCCCTCCTGCCAGGACCCGGGCAGAGTACAGCCACCTGCACCCAACCATCACTGGGCAGGGCACACGCAGGGGTTCCCCTCGGTGTCCTTCCCAGATTTTTAAAAGTCGGAACTTCATACACACCCACACACAGAAAAGTACCCCACAATGACAACGCTGGCTGTTTCCAAACTGTGGATGTGTGGGTAATAAACTTCTCTTTGCTCATCTGCATTTTCTAACTTTTCCATGAAAAATAAATTATTTGCACTAAAATACTTAAAAACTAAAAACTTAGGCCACTCAGGAAAAAAAAAGAACCTACTGGATATTTACAAAATTAAATTATTTTCTAAACTTTGTTAATATATTTTTCTTCACATGACCGTCATGATCTTGAATATTTTTTATTTTTTACAAAAAATCGAGTATTATGGGTTAATAAAAATATGCACGCACATAACTCACATGCTTGCCTTTAAAAAATGAGATTTTCCAGAACTTCATGAAGTTGAAAGCCCAGTTTCTTACTCTTTCCCTTGAAGTGCGACGTCCAAATGAGCTACTTCCTGTTTCTCACTATTCTTTTTTAACTTTTAGAGATGGGGGAATGGGGGGACCTCACTATGTTGCTCAGGCTGGTCTTGAACTCCTGGGCTCAAGTGATCCTCCCGCCTCGGCCTCCCAAAGTGCTGGGATTATAGGCGTGAGCCACTGTGCCCAGACTGTTTCTCACTATTCTCAACACTCCTTTTCAGAATATTCTGGGGTAAGTTTTACTTTTCTTTTTCTGTTGGATCATTTCCGTTGACTCTTTTCTCCAGAGTGTCATTATAGGATAAAGTCAAATTTGTTATGCTTCACCAGATTGTTCCTCAAGAGTAAACGCCCATCCTTCCCATCACCTTGCCCTTACCTGGGCACTCACGTATCGAGCAAACCACTCCCGGCCTTTTCCATTTTCACTGCTGCAGTACTCTCCAAACTTGGCTTTCTCCTCCTGATCTAAGTCCTCCCTAAAAAAAAAAAAAAAAAAAAAGGAGAGGGGGAAAAAAACCCCTTTTCAATCCGCTGGAGCAATAGGGGAAGAGCAAGGAGAAGGAACTAACGAAGTATTGCTCCCAAGCCAAGCACAGACCCCAACTCCCATCACCTCATCTCAGCCTCCGGGCGGTCCCGCGAGGAAAGGGTGTTACTGTTATTTCAAAGGTGAGGAGCCTGGCTCGGAGAATCACATGCCGGTTTGAGAGTGGCGAACCAGAGTTCCATCCAGGCTTCCTGGTTCCAAAGCCCATGTCCTTCCCCTGCCCCTCCCGACCCCTGCCTGGGGAGGTCTGAGTCCGGATAAGGGCACGAACCCTGAGAGGTCTTGGTTCTCCAGCTCTCTGACTTCCCACTAGTTTTTGATGCTGGAGTCAGCATGGAACCAGCCCCTGAATTTAAGACTTCCTGAATTTGTTCTGTCTTAGTATATTGACGCCAAGGTTTGATGCCAGGAAGAAAACCATCTCCCACATATCAGCAGGGCACTCGCTCATCCCTCTGCACTTCCAGAGTGAGGCTGCTCACGGGCCAGGCCATCCCCAGCTGTGTGTGAGAGGTATGGAGACCAGGGGCCTCCACCCTGGTGTCACCACCACTAGGATGGATAACATGCTCACATACTTTCAGGCCACTTCTCATCACTCTTTGTAAGGCGCCAATACTCTTTCCCAAATTTAAAGACTCGAAAATGAAGCAGAAGGCTGAAGATCACTTGGCTTATGCAATCTTCATTTATGTTTTGTAGAAAACATCTTGGTCCTCATTTACTCTAAATACCAACATCAGATGAAATATGTGTTATCTGCAGGCTTTTGTAGTAATTTCTGGAATGCTTGCAAAGACGCATCTGACTCAGGTGTCCACATTCTGTATCGCTGACAGGCTACTGCAAATAGAGGCTGGCTTTCCTGGCAAATGAGCAAACTTCTGGGTGTTTTCCCCTTTTCATTAACTGGGGTGTGCTCAGAGAAAGCGCACCCATCTCGGTGTTGGTCAAACAAAACAAGTAGGAAGCTACATCTGCTCTCCTAAAATGCACTCAAATCAAACATAAATGCATTTTTAGTTAATTTTTTATTTTTTTTGAGACGGAGTCTCGCTCTGTCTTGCCTAGGCTGGAGTACAGTGGTGCAATCTCAGCTCACTGCAACCTCTGCCTCCTGGGTTCAAGTGATTTTCCTGCCTCAGCCTCCTAAGTAGCTGGGATTACAGGCACCCGCCACCAAGCCCAGCTAATTTTTGTGTTTTTAGTAGAGATGGGGTTTCGTCATGTTAGCTAGGCTGGTCTCAAACTGCTGGCCTTAGGTGATGTGCCTGCCTTGTCTCCCAAAGTGCTGGGATTACAGGTGTGAGCCACCGCGCCCAGCCCATAAATGCATTTTTAGATGGTCAGGTATTGGGATTATCATGCAACGGTTCCCTTTTCTAACCACACAGAAAACTGAGGCTGGTCTCCACCAATTAAGAAGCACCCATCAAAAAGGCAGAAGTCAGCCCTTAAGAGTTTACACACGTGGGGCTCAAATCACGGTGGAAACAATGGGCTCTGCAGAGTAAAAGGCAACATTTCTTTTTCTTTTTTTTTTTGAGACAGGGTCTCCATTTGTCACCCAGGCTGGAGTGCAGTGGTATGATCATGGCTCACTGCAACCTAAGCCTACCTGGTTCAAGTGATCCTCCCACCTCAGCCTCCTGAGTAGCTGGGACTATGGGCACATGCCACCATGCCTGGCTAATTTTTGTGTGTTTTTTTGTAGAGTTTCACTATGTTTCCTAGGCTGGTCTCAAACTCCTGGGCTCAAGCGATCCTCCTGCCTCAGCTTCCCAAAATGTTGGGAATACAGGTGTAAGTCACTGAGCCTGGCCACAAATCCTAACTGCGTTAATGAAACTGGAAAACTTTCCCTTAAGGCAGTGCCTCTCAGACGCTGATGTGCATGAGCTGTCTACTGATCTTGTTAAAGGGCATGTTCTCACTCAGAGGGGCCAGCCAGGGCTCAAGACTCTGCATTTCTCACAAGCTCCCAGGAGATGCCAATGCTGCCAGCCCACACATGACAGAGCAGCAAGACCATCTGTATCTAGTGTGCTGCCGTGAATGGTGGAAGAGCCACAATCCACACGTGAACCCCATGGCTCTGGGGTGTGTGTGCATCCTCCTTTCCCTGGCTGAGATATTAACAGGCAGTGAACTGGGGTAGGGAAACATCAGGCCGATGCACAGATTCCCGCTTCTCAGTGGACGTCACGGCCCCAAACTCTCCCTTCCTGCTGCTCCAATTGTCAACACTCGTTATTTTACCCTTAAGAACCACAAAAGAACAGCCACCCAGGGAAGGGCCCCATGCAAACAGCTGCTTCAGAATCAGCTGCTGGCCAGGGTCAGCACTTTGGAGGGTCGTGGCAGGAGGACTGCTTGAGGCCAGGAGTTTGAGGCTGTGGTGAGCTATGACTGCACCACTGCACTCAAGCCTGGGTGACAGAGCGAGACCTTGTCTCCAAAACGAAAAAAAAAAAAATTAGCGGGGCATGGCGGCATGTACCTATAGTCCCAGCTACTCGGGAGGCTATGGTGGGAAGATTGCTTGAGCCCAGGAAGTGGAGGCTGCAGTGAGCCGTGATTGCGTCACTGCACTCCAGCCTGGGCAACAGAGTAAGGCCCTGTCTCTAAAAAAAAGAATCTGCTTCTTATGAGCACACCAGTATGGGTAACCACAGCTTTATTATCTTATCTTGCCCCTATATTTAATTTCAGTGAATAATTGCAACCTCTTAGCCAACTACAGCTGTGACAAGGAACGCTAGGGAGTGGTGAGCCTACAAATGCTCAGATGGTCCCAGAAACAGAACAAGTGCCCCTTGTGTTTAGCAACGATGAGGTGAGACAGGTGTCGGCGGAGTGAGAGGAAAGAGATAGCCCCCTCCAAAGCCTTGCTTAAGAATTGCATGGATAAAATTCAGGAACAACATGCACTGGAAAATAACAGAGCTCGGCCGGGTACGGTGGCTCATGCTTATAACCCCAGCGCTTTGGGAGGCTGGGAAGGGTGGATCACATGAGACCAGGAGTTCGAGAGCAGCCTGGCCAACATGGTGAAACCCTGTCTCTATTAAAAACACAAAAATTAGCCGGGTGTGGTGGCAGGTGCCTGTAATCCCAGCTACTCGGGAGGCTGAGACAGGAGAATTACTTGAACCTGGGAGGCAGAGCTTGCATTAAGCTGAGACTGCACTACTGCACTCCAGCCTGGGTAACAGACCCAGACTCGGTCTCAAAAAAAAAAAAAAAAGAAAGAAAGAAAGAAAACAAACAAAAAGAAAATAATGGAGCTCAGGGGGATGATGGGGACCTGTGAGCCAAGTACTCTGGAGCGTGTCCCTCCAGCGATTCTCCGCACGGTTGCCCTTCCAAATCACCTGGGAGCCGCACATGCTTTGACGCCGGGCCTCACCCTAGAGAACTGATGTAATTGGTCTGGAGTGAAGTCCAGACTCGGGTACTCTTTAAAAGGTCCCCATGTGGCTCTGCATGCAGGCTGGAGTGGAGGGAGGCCCCTGCAGTGGCCATCCCTGGCTGATGAGGAAATGGAAGCTCTGGCCCCAGGTGGCAACCTGGGGAGAGGCAGAGCCAAGAGCAGAAGGCGGCTCCCCTTGGGCCCTGTGGCCATGCCAGGCTGTCTTGTCCACACAGGCCCCTTACCCTCCAGAGAAGATCTTCTCCACGTAGCCACGCATGAAGTCCCTGAGAGCCAGGGTCTCTTCATCCTGGGTAGACTCGGTGCTCTGGCTGGAGGAGAAGGACTCGTTGGAGGAGGAGCGGCGGTCCTGGTCCCAGGACGGGTGTGAGGGTGACTCGCCCATGTCATTCTCACTGTCCGCAGACTCAGTGGTCTCACTCTCTGACGCGCCATCCCCCAGGGAGCCATCCCCGTCCTGCAGTGCAGGGGGTGGTGCCTCCAGGGGAGAGGAGGTGGGTGCCTCAGGCCCAAAGTCGATTAGCGAGCCCACGGGGACCTCCCGGGCCTCCATGGCTCTGGGGGGCTGCTGGGGAGGCTGCCTGGAGGGGAGCCCGGCAGCCTGGCGTCCCAGGTGTGTTAGTAGGAGCCCACCAAGCTCACAAGTTGCCGGTAACTGCTGGCCACCAAGAATGAGTCCTTTGCAGCAGCTCACCTGGCCCTACAGCATCTAGAATGGAAACACAGACACAGACATTAGCGCCATTCCTCACCAGAATCCAGACCTAGATCACACACTCCCCGTAAAGAGAAGAATCTCTGCTCTTCTGGAATTTGGGGTGCCTCTTCACCATCATCTTCCTACCGTCCACTTTACTGTTCAAAACCTGGTACACGGTAGGCCCTTGATAAATACTTGTTAAATGAATGAACAAATAAACACTGACATCAGGATTTCTCCAAGTTCTGCAAACAAACTGTCAGGGCACTGCCTCTGCTGGCCTCCTTCCCGCTCCAGCCCCAAGACTGAGCCCATCACCAGGACGGAAAAGGTCCATCCTGGGCTGGAAATGGAGGATCACCAGGGACAATCCACCTGCCCGCTCGCTGTCACTGGAACTGGTGGCTACGGAAGCACCTCCCTGCTGAGCAACAGACACCTCACCTCTTGGCTCTGGCCTCCTTCCTTGGCTCTGTTCTCATCCAGAACGTTCCCAGGCTGTCAGAGGTCTATCCCCTCTCAGCATCCTTCTCAAACCCTACGATGGTTGCTAAGCACAACATTTGCCATCTGGACTTGTCCCCTCTCCCGGCATAGCAGCCGCCCTGGACAACACACCCCTGGGCTCCTCAGGCTGGGCAACCCTCTCCCTTCTCCATTCCCCTCCTTTTTCCTCCGCCATTCCTACCCTGGAGTTCTATTCACCGCTCAAGGCTCTGCCTTGGCCACGTCTTCTGAAAAGCTCTACTCTGCTCCTATTCAAAATGAATGAATGACTCCTCTGTGGGCTCCAGCAACTTATTTAGCCTAATTTATCATTCTGCTTGCTTTACTGACAGACACCAATATTTCCGTTTACCCGTAAAGCATACACCCCTCCAGAGGGACCATGTCTGGCACCCTGTAGCCATGCTGTGCCCAGCGAGGACTCCTGACTACATACGTGTGTGTTGTGTGCTTGCTGAAGGAAAGAACAGACCCGAATGTGAACACGCTCACAGGGTCAGGGGTGTTGGCTATGCAGGTCACAGGGTGGCAGAGCTGGGATTCAAATCTTGGCTTCTAATCCTGGTCTCCTGGCTGCTGGTTCAAGAGGTCCCGGGGAACCTTCCTCACCAGTACAGAGGCAGACAGCTAAGCGGGAAGGAGACACCGTCTTGACAGTCAGCCCCTCAGAGCACAGCATACCTCTAACCTCAGCCCTGTCCGTTAGGCCCCAAATATCTAGGACAATGCCTGCCAGTGAGGGGGCTGTGAAACTGCTGAACTGACTGCATCTTCAGAGGACAATTCAATAGCAGAATGGACTTTTTTGCCTCTTAAGAGCTTAATGCTCACCCGTCGATGATGGATTCCTCCAAATTCTCCAGCCTGGGGTATTTTTAAATACCCTGAGTCAGAAAAGAAAAAGGCTGGCTCCCGGTCACCAGCATGGTGATGGGCATGTTCAGGGGAGCCCCACAAGGCAAGCCTCAGTCCGGAAGAGAGAAGCATAAACCTCAGCTCAGAAGAACTTTCCACGCCAGGACAGCAACAAGGGCTCTGATGAGCTCAGAAGGCAGTGGCTTCGGCTCAGGGAGCTGGAGAGCAAGGAGTGGCCGGTTGGAGTCTCCCCTCACCAGCTGCGTCCCCGGTCAAGGCCCCTACTCTCCGGTGGGTCCCCCTGGCTGAGGCATCAAGATTGGATCAGAAACCCAAGGCCCTTCCACAAGCACATGCTCACTCGCCAAAGAACAGAAAACCACACCCATGGTAACATGCCTGGCATTAAAAATGAAAAACCACACACTAGGAAAATGTTTACAGTAAATATACTAGGAAAATTGAGCTAGTGGTATATCTGTATTACAAATTCACACAACTCTAAAAAGTCTATATTCTTTCTTTTTTTTTTTTTTTTTTTGAGACGGAGTCTCGCTCTGTCGCCCAGGCTGGAGTGCAGGGGCCGGATCTCAGCTCACTGCAAGCTCCGCCTCCCAGGTTTATGCCATTCTCCTGCCTCAGCCTCCCGAGTAGCTGGGACTACAGGCGCCCGCCATCTCACCCGGCTAGTTTTTGTATTTTTTTAGTAGAGACAGGGTTTCACCGGGTTAGCTAGGATGGTCTCGATCTCCTGACCTCGTGATCCGCCCGTCTCAGCCTCCCAAAGTGCTGGGATTACAGGCTTGAGCCACCGCGCCCGGCCAAAAGTCTATATTCTAACAGCTACACAAACAACTCAAATAGGCAAGGCACACAAGAGGAAATACAATTATAGGCCAGGCGCAGTGGCTCACACCTGTTATCCCAGCACTTTGGGAGGCTGAGGCAGGTGGATCACCTGAGGTCAGGAGTTCAAGACCAGCCTGAGCAACATGGTGAAACCCCATCTCCACTAAAAATACAAAAACTAGCCAGGCATGGTGGGGCCCGCCTGTAGTCCCAGCTACTCAGACAATTGCTTGAACCCAGGAGGCTGCAGTGACCCGAGATGGTGCCATTGCACTCCAGCCTGGGTGACAGAGCACAACTCCGTCTCAAAAAAAGAAAAAAGGAAATACAATTATTAAAGGATTAGACAAGTCTTCAACCTATACTAATAACCACAATATAAATATGCAAATTAAAGCCATAAGGTATCATCTTATACTACTAAATTAGTAAAAATTTAAAAACTATTTAAATACTGGTAAAGTTATGGTAAAATTAACATTCTCAAGCATTGCTGGAATAGGGATAAATAATACTTCAAAAGGCAATTTCTACCATTCTTATTTTTCTCTGTTCTGATTCAGGAATTCAAATGCTTGGAATTTATCCTAAGAAAATAATTCAAAACACTCAAAAACAGTTATGTAGAGAAAAATGCTCACTGCAACAGTGTTTATAATCTTGATTAACTGGGAAGAGGGTAGAAAAAATACCTAAATACAGTAAAATGGGCCAGGCATGGTGGCTCACGCCTGTAATCCTGGGAGGCTGAGGCGGGTGGATCACCTGAGGTCAAGAGTTCGAGACCAGCCTGAGCAACATGGTGAAACCCCATCTCTACTAAAAATACAAAAATTAGGCAGGCATGGTGGTGCATGCCTGTAATCCTAGATACTCGGGAGGCTGAGGCAGGAGAATCGGTTGAACCTGGGAGGCGGAGGTTGCAGTGAGCTGAGATCACGCCACTGCACTCCAGCCTGGGCAAAAAAGCGATTCTCCATCTCAAAAAAATTAAAATAAGTAAATAAATACAGTAAAATGTCAAATGCATGTTAAAAAGTTGATGCAGTAGTGATGAGTGTATGATACAATTCAAAAAACGTCCACTTTCTAGTAAACAGAATGTTCTGTAGTCAGCCCAGGTTTACTGAACGCTGCTGCTTGCCAACCCCTGTTCTGAGTGCTGAGAACACTGAAGTGAGAGAAATTTAATTTTACTCTAATTACAATCATGTATACATATGCAAAAGCAATGAGGAAGAATGTAGAAATGTATGGTGGTGCTGGCATAGGGGTGATTTCCTCTTTCATTTTGTTCATTATCCTAACATTGCATGGCAAACACTCACAGTTCAGTGGGAAAAAGGAAACAAGTCACTGTCTCTGGAAGCCATTCAAGCAGTAGCAGGGCCGTGTCTCTCTGCCCACACACAGGAGGTTCAAGATCAAGCTGGGGCCGGGGGCAGTGGCTCACGCCTGCAATCCCAACATTCTGGGAGGCCGAGGCGGATGGCTCTCCTGAGGTCAGGAGTTCGAGACCAGCCTGGCCAACATGGCGAAACCTTGTCTCTACTAAAAATGCAAAAATCAGCCGGGTGTGGTGGCGGGCGCCTGTAATCCCAGCTACTCGGGAGGCTGAGGCAGAATTGCTTGAAACCAGGAGGTAGAGGCTGCAATGAACCGTGCCACTGCACTCCACAGTGCAGACACAGCGAGACTCCATCTCAACTAAATCAATCAATCAATCAATCAAACTGGATGATCGTGGCTATTTCTGATCCAGTCTCAGGCACTCTTGGGCCAGTCAGACGCTCTCATGAGTCATCCTCTCCCAGAAGCCCTGAGTGCTGGGTGCTGCCTTCCTCAGTGGGCTCAGCACAGAGTCGACAACATCACAGGAGAGGCACTGAGTGACAGGAAGCAGATGGGTGGCAGGAGGGCTGCGGCGGGCACTACCCCTGTGCCCGGACTCCTCAGCCCAGGGATCTCAGCTGTTTGGGGCTCGCTCACAGAGCTAAGATGTCACAGCAGTGACTCTGTGTGGTCATGGCAGGGGAAGCAATCCCACCCTCTTCCTCCAGCAAGGAAAAGTCATTATGGGCCTCTAGGCAGGACAAGGTGATGGCCACTCCCACACTGCAGGGTCACAATCTCGGGGGACTGCCTGGGCCAGCTGGCGAAAACACAGGAGGTGGTCCAGCAAGGAGCCACACTGTCCCTGCTCAGAGCCAGCCCAGCGCTGCCATCTGGGAACGCGGACCCAGGAGTATCAGATCTTCTACAGGTTTCCAAGGAATGCTGAAATCCAGTTACGTGAAATCTGATTTCTCAACACTGACAACTAATTTAAATTGATTTCAAAACACTTTGGTAGTCAAAAAACCCATCTGTGGATTGCACCCCAGCCCATCTGCTTTGTTCTACCTTCAAGGAGGTACTGAGGCCACTGCCCAGACTCTGAGAAACAGTGTTTTTGGCTACAGGGGAATCTGTGTCACTGGAGATAGGAACATGCTGGCCTGAAGCACTGCAACCCCCCTGCGGTTACACTTTGCAATGAGCGTCATAGGCCCCACGATGGAGGCTTCCACCAATCAAAGTAGGCTAAAATTCTAAGTCAACCTGTACTTTCCAAAGCCCTTGTGAGATTTTGCAAACATCCATTCATTCTGCACACATGTACCGAGCATCTACTATGCATCGGTTACTGTGCAAAGAGCTAGAAAGAAAGCCATGAGGGAGACCTTATGGAACGTGTGTGTGTGTGTGTGTGTGTTTGTGTGTGTGTGTGTGTGTGTTTGTGTGTGTGTGTGTTTGTG